GGGGGGGGGGGAAACCAGAAATAAAAGCAAACAATAAAAGAGCAAAAATACTAAAAAATGGCACAAGTCATGAACTTAGTTGGCCATCTGAACGAGCTCATCCTTCAGAAAGCCATCAGGGAGGGGGCTAGTCCGGTCTTCTTGGGAGGCTGTTCTAAAACACGGGCGCTGCCACTAAGAAGCAGCGCCTCCGGGCTTCAGTTCCCTTCACAACCCAGAAGCGTGGGACTCTGAGATGATCTGATAGGTCAGGACGATTCAGACTGGAGCAGGTAGTCCTGCAGGTATCCAGGTGCCAAGCCGTAAAGGACTTGATGGGTAAAAGCCAGCGCTATAAATTGTACCTGGAAGTCAATATCTGATACTGTATGCTCCCAGTGCTGTGTATTAGTATGTCACATGCAGGCTTCTGAGCCAGCTGTAGTTTCTAAGTAAAGGCAGAGGGCATTGCAGTAGTCTAACTGGATGGTAATGAGGGCATGAGTTCCCTATAGCCAGGTCCTCCTGCATCAGGCAAGATCTCAGCTGGCACAGCAGACACAATTGGGCAAACACCACTCAGGGATGACACCTGCTGCTTGAGAAGGAGGTGTGAGTCCAGAAAGATCCCCAAATCGAGAACCTGTTCTTTCTGAGGTAGTGCATGCAGAGATGACAGTGGTATGAACCGAGAATCATGATCAGCAAACAGCAACTCATTCTTGCTTGGGTTCAACTTCAGCCTGGATTTTCTCCCATTCAGCCCTTTACAGCTCCCAAGAACGGGGATAAGAGGAGTTCTTGTGACGTCATGGAATGTTCACTAACATTCTACCGACAGAGGGCAAAGTCTTAAGTAGTTTTATTATATGCATTTAGCCAGGTTTTGGTAAATGTGAAAAAAACAAAACAAAACCCTGTTCCACATTAAGGGGTCCTTGGAAAAGGAAGTGAAAATAAAGCCTAGTGTATAAGAAAAGGTTCAGAGAAAGCCAGTGTCCACAAACAAGAACCATTCTCCTCTGAGAAAAGGTTGTGCTGTTTCAGCCTTTTTCGCTTAGAAAAAGGCTGATAAGAGAAAGGAACCCATGATAGAGTTGTACAAAATGACGCACGACCTGAAGAAAGTGGATAGTGCAACCCACACATCTGAGAACAATCGGAGTCATTGTGAATGGTGCAAGATTCAGAAAAGATAAAAGAGACATTTCTTAACAGAGTGCCTCATTAAACTTTGGACCACAGAATGTAGTGATGGCTATCAGTTTGGAGAGCTTTAAAAGGGCCCTAGATAAATGAATGAAGAATAAGCTTATTCGAGGCTGCTAGGGTCACAATGACTATATAGAATCTAGAATTGTTGGGAGGTGGGCAGCTTTGATAAATTAACAGTCACAATAAATATACGTTGCCTCCAAGACCCCAAGCAATGTATCTCTGAACACCAGTTGCTGGCAAGCACGAATAGCAGGTCTGTTGCAGTCTATCGGCGGCCTTCTGGAAGCATCTGGTGTGTCATTATGAGAAGTGACATGCCAGTCCAGGTAGAACTTTAGTCTGATCAAGCATGGCTCCCATATTCATATTTTGTAATTGTAGTGTTTATTACGGCCAAAAGATCCACATAATATATTCCTATTTGTCAGATTTCCTTTTTTGCAGTCTAGACTAGAAATAGTTAATTTAAAAAAACCCAAGAATCTAAGAGCTCTGATGAAAAGTATGCATTAGAAAGGTGTTTCTCAACCTTGGTGGCTTGCTGATGTGTGGACTTCAACTCCCAGAATTCCCCAGCCAGCATGAGACACCTGCTTCTAAGAAATTTAGAGCAACAAAACTGTTCATTTCTTTGTGATTCTTCGATAAAGGGGGCTGGGAACTCCCCTCTTTGGTGAAGGCAGGACAGTGTGTGCCTGTTGGTTGCTTTCATAAACGCTCATCATCTTACCAACCTGAAAAGTAACTCTCACATTACTAAAGGATGTGCAGATCTCCAAAGGGGCACTTTACTTGGATGAAAATTTGGGTGAAATGCCACTTTGAAGCTCTTCTGCAATGTAAAGTGATGTTCTGCCCCGTGGACCAAATTCCAAGCCAAAGAGTGGCTTTGCTTCCCTTTGCTTAGTGGCTTCAACAACTGTACATGTTCCAAAGCCACTCTTTACAAGGTAAATCAAACTGACTAAAGCTGATGGGTCAACTGACCACAACGAAATGCCTTTGGGAACAAAGCTTGATTTGCACATTTGGTACACTTCTGGTTCGCATCTTTGTTCTTAGCTACCTACAATGCTCCCGATAGAAAGCTCTTAGCACTACATATCAAAAAGCACTGGAAAGTTATTGGCTCTCCCTTAATGGGTTTTCCGCAATACAGAAATATTAATGGAAAACAGGAGAAACGTTGGAAGAAATGAGC